TGTCCAGTCAGAGTCGTGCTTTCCTTCCTGCAAGAGAGGTTGGAGCGAAGGCTGTCTCCCTCCACCCTGAAAGTGTATGTTGCCGCAATTACCGCACATCATGATGCAGTTGATGGTAAGTCTCTTGGTAAGCACGACCTGGTCGTCAGGTTCCTTAGAGGGGCGAGGAGGTTGAACCCTCCTCGTCCTACCTCAGTACCCTCTTGGGACCTATCTCTGGTGCTCACGGCACTGCAGAGACCTCTCTTTGAACCTTTGCAGTCAGCTGAGTTGAAAATTCTGTCACTATTCTGTCACTACATTCTGTCCTGACTGCGTTGGCTTCCATCAAGAGGGTAGGGGACCTGCAGGCATTTTCGGTCGACAAATCGTGCCTAGAATTCGGGCCGGCCAACTCTCATGTTGTCCTGAGACCCCGGCCTGGATATGTGCCAAAGGTTCCTTACCACTCCCTTCAGGGACTAGTTAGTGAGCCTGCAAGCACTGCCCTCAAGATATCAGAGTCATGCTTTCCTTCCTGCAAGAGAGGTTGGAGCGAAGGCTGTCTCCCTCCACCCTGAAAGTGTATGTTGCCGCAATTGCTGCACATCACGATGCAATTGATGGTAAGTCTCTTGGTAAGCACGACCTGGTCGTCAGGTTCCTTAGAGGGGTGAGGAGGTTGAACCCTCCTCGTCCTACCTCAGTACCCTCTTGGGACCTGTCTCTGGTGCTCACGGCACTGCAGAGACCTCTCTTTGAACCTTTGCAGTCAGCTGGGTTGAAAATTCTGTCACTATTCTGTCACTACATTCTGTCCTGACTGCGGCCTGCAAGCACTGCCCTCGGAGGAGGCAGACCCAGCCCTAGCTTTTCTCTGTCCCGTCCGTGCTCAGTGGCTCTACGTGGACAGAATACAAAGCTTCAGAACTTCAGACCAGCTCTTTGTCTGTTATGGAGGCCAGCAGAAGGCAAAGGCTGTCTCCAAACAGAGGTTAGCCCACTGGATAGTGGAAGAAGTGTTGCTTCCTCGTGGGTGCTGGCTCAAGGCGCCTCGCTGACAGATATTTGTAGAGCTGCGGGCTGGGCGACACCTAACACGTTCGCTAGCTTCTATAGCCTTTGTGTAGAGCCGGTATCTTCCCGTGTACTCGCCCCTAGTGGCCAGTAGCGCTAAGGACCCGTTCTAGTGTCGGCTTGCAACGCCACTCCCGCCCGCTGGGCCGGATACGTGCGTCTAGTGCTCCAGTAGAGTTCCCCAGAAATGGCTAACCCTGTGAGTTCCTCCATCACCCCCCGGCATACAGACGTGGCAGAGCGTCTGACGCCAGGCCTACACTCGTATGCGTTGTGGAAGTTGTGTTAGGCTGGGTGTCCATATGTAGTGGTCCCTGCAGCGATCCTATATGTGTATTCTTCCACGGTAAGGCTACGCAGGCCGGCTAGCCCGTGTCTTTCTCTCTCTGTCATCTCTGCTGGTGTTCTTTCCCCCCTAGAACTAGGCTGGAACCACCCCAGAGACTTCCATATGTTGTATTAACCTAACTGGCTAGTCCATAGGTGTAACCGCCAAATTTTACTTTCCTACGGGCAGGATGTGGCCTCCGCAGCATCCCCTTCCCTTCTAGGGCACGCTTTCCCAGCGTTATCCAAATAGTCACACTGAGTGGGTCTTGTGGAACAGCAGTGACTGACCTTCTCTGCTTAGAACCCTGACTCCTGCTCCAACAGTTGGGGGCGGTCCAGGAGTCTCAAGCAGAGCG